AGCGCTCAAGTTAGCCTAGACGTCTTAATCTTTTGTTACGGAATGCAACTGCATTGACCATGAAAAATATCACAAAGTTTATTGCCCAAACGCCTTTCACTGTTTTCAAAATATGATGGCAAACACCTTGGGCAACATACACACTAACAATGTCATCACTTAGAAGCGGCCACCGTGGGATTTTTCGGAATACCTTTATTAAATGTTAGGGATGAAGATGACGACATATTGTTTTCAAATGTCTCTTCCCTCTATGCGAAGAGTTGGGAATAAAGGTTGTGTCCTCCACTTCCCCCCCCCCCCCCCCAATCACGCTATATTTCCACTTACTGTTTGTTTGCATGAGCAAATAGAAGCAAATTAACACAATAAAGGCAATTTAGCGCAAGGGCAAAAGACAGACAAAAAGAACTAGGGAGGGGTAATTATAAGTAGGATCATTCAGTTTAACACCCTCCAACCACTTTCTTTTCCCAACTAATCAACATCAGAAAACAAGAAAGACAAAAGGAAACAAACCACATGGAAATACATGATATTTTCACATTTTATTTTACAGCGCAATAGTATACATAATATATTTACATGTACATCATATGACTCAATAATCATTATAACCATTTGCGTCACATCATGGTGGAATCAGGCGCTCATCAATTTTTGGACATGTGGAGTTATTGGTAATACAATAAAGCTTAATTATTTGCTTTGCTGTCGCTGAAAAAAGAATACACACTTTTAACTGAAGTCGAGACACTTGCAACCGAAGGAGGCGGGTTGTTTGGTCTCAGGGGTCGAATTATTGAGAAAATGTCTGCCAAAGTTTGACAACTTCCAAAATATGAGTGTCCTTTGAAACTATAAATTTATATTTTTTTTAGCTTTTCATCAATGATTTCCAGCAAAATCCATACAGAGATTTGTTTTTAAATTAAAGGGACCCATAAACAAAAATTGCCTAATATGTGAAAAATTGTTGGTTTCTAGGATTTCACAATTTTGACGAGCGCTAGATTTCACCACAATGCCACACATTTTCCAGATAGTTTCAATAAATTGACAGAGGCAGAAAGCAATGAGTGGCACAGAGAAAAAGTCAACTAATATTCTATAATTTTTTTTTAAAGAACACCCTCCCCCACCTCCCCCAAGCCAGTTCATACCGACTGCTCAGTCTAAGATGTTTAGTCTAAGATCCTAACAGAGAACAGATAGAGATTCCCTACAAATATTAAACTTCCTCACTTGGGAATCAAACCCACTCACATCTTCTGTGCAAAATGGTGAAGAGCCTAACTACTTCACCACAGATGTCAGTTCTTAAAAATGTGTCCATAGTAGGAAAACGCTCACATTTGTAATATCAGCTGTAGTATGGACAGAAATCTTACCCAGCTCATGTGCCTTGCATGTTAGCTGAGAACAAAAGCACACCAAATTACTGTGTAATTTTTTATCTCCAAAAAGCTTCACTGAAAATTGCGTTGAAGCAAAACTAACACAGACAAAAGATTGCGCTGATAGTAAGCGGAAGCCATAACTAGTAAATATATGCTTATGTTGTGCTATCCTAATAGGAACAGGACGAAACATAATATCTGTTGCACATAGAAACCCTGAAAAATGACAAAACTTTCTGCCATGAACAAGACACCAAACTCAAACCATCAATCGCCATAAACCTCAAAATCACTCTCAATGGAAAGTCATTCAAATCCTATAACATTGTTAAGATTAAAAAAGGAATGTTAAAATATTAACCATACAAAAAAATGTCAAATTCCACATTTGGACATTCTTGAGGGAAAAAGAACAAAGAAGTAACAAAAATTTTAAAAGAAAATAATTGGCATTGCTATTTAGGAAATAAATGGACACAAAATTAGAATGTTGTATAAATGCTCCGGTCTCCCATCTTTTGTTATTTTGAGTCAAGAGAACCACATCAACATAACAACAATTTTCACTGAATGTATGGATAAAATGTCTGTGTTTGAGTTTAAAAAAAGAAGCATATTGACATAATCAAGGCCATTAAGCGCTGGGAGAAAGCGAGACAGATAATTCAGAAACAAAAAAATGGGAAAGAAAATAAGACAGACAAAGAAACAGAAAGAACAGCATGAAAGAAAGGAATCAGCTTCATTCTAAATAGCAGCTGACAAATTTATGGCTTGTCAAAAGGCTCTCTTGATGTATTTGAAAGTTTCTCAATCGACCACACTCTGCATTCTCTTATATATCATGGTTTTACCAACACTGCTGTTATAATATCCCCTGATCTTCAATGATTCATCCATTCCATTCAATGTTACATTTTTAAAAAAAACAACCCTGTTTCAAAAGAAGACAACTGCAAACCAGCCCAACACTCATACACAATCAGTTTTTCAGGTCATACTCACAGAGACAGCCTTCTCCAACTAAGGATTTGCATCCAGGGAAACAGCTTTTTCAAGTGCCTTAACACCACACAAATGTACAATGCCCCCCCCCCCCCCCCCAATCCAAAATTACATAAGGTTCTTTTCTTTTCATTATCCACATGAACAACTTGAATCACAAATAAACTCTGCAATATCTAGCGCTCTTTTTTTAAATTAGGATATGAGATGGATTGAAGGAATCAAGGGAACCCTGAGAATATCTAAATTTTTTATTAAAAGAACTGAAGAGTCAGCCTATATTGAAAACTGCTTCTCCCCTTGACGCTCAATGACAACGGAGGATGAAAAAGCAAAGAGCAAATGTAATGAAATGAAGTTCTTGCTTTATCACTACGCGAAAACCAAAATTCCACCCTGATGCAAAAGCTAAGAAAAACATAAAAACAAACAATTTACTTCAACTTCTGCAGTCTAAAATAGATCATTGAAGCTGAAACGTCAAAACTTTGTTAAACTAATGTATCATCTGTCTGCCGTACAGCCATCTTGATAAAAAAAAGTTGTACAGCTAACAGTCAGATATGGCCACCACAGTGAGCCCTGTAGTTGGGGCTGATGGCCATATGGGTGGTGAATCTATCAACCAATTTGCTAGTCTTTGACCTTGTTACTTCCATCGTTGATATTTACCCAGTAAGCTTTTTGAGTAAAGAGAAGCACATCAGCTCAACAACATTCACTTAAAGTAGGGAAAAAGTAAGACAGAACCAACAGGAAAAGAGTAAAGAAATAGGACCTACCAGTGGCACCCTCCAATAGTCTGCCTGTCCTTCATTTTCTATTCCATAAAAAAAAAAGAGAGACTAGACTATCAACTTTCTCACTATCCGACCGACCGACCCGACCAACTACATACATACATACATACATACATACATACATACATACATACATACATACATACACATATATCAGCTCAGCTGTTTAGTCAATCTCATATCTTCCTTGCCTACATACGACGGCCGCCCTGACATTTTTCAGATTTCCCCCGGCAGTGTAGAAAGCGGCCACCGAAGAGACGGCCAACAGGAGATACGCTGGCAGGAGGCTGGCCAGGTAAATGGTAGAGTTGGTGTTGCTGCTCTGTTGATTCAGTAGGGTCTGAAATCAATAACAAAATAAAAAATTATAAAATCTCCTTTCAACTCACGGCTGGCGGCCTACGAGAATACTCGTATCCAAGCAGCCACCTGACTACGAGAAAGTCCAAATCCATCTATGTCTCTCTAAAAAAACAACTACTTAAGAGTTACCCTTCATGCACTTTCGTACGCATATTGCCCACTAATTTTGCAGCTGTTTGGAGGGAAAATTATAAGTTATAATGTGGGTACCTAGATTTGTGGGAGTGGCTGGAAGCAGCCCAGGTGGGTTAGTCTGCTCAGAGAGGCAATAAATGGTTTCATAAAGAATGTCTGATTGAGTTAAAAAAAAGCACATTGGCACAATAAGTTATTTAGTAGCGGAAAAGAGCAACATAGACAGATTTTTGTTTGTTTTAGTAAGGTTTTACAGCACTTGCAACTGCATAAGATCATATGAGCGCCAAGGGGTGGACATCAACAGAGAAGTCTAAACGAGGAATCAGGCTTACTCTGCTCACTTCTCTAGCCTCAACATGAGAAAGTCTGCTTCGACTATCAAGGCACCCTGGAAATAGCAGTTCACAAGAGAGTGACAAACATACAAAAGAAGTAGAGGAAAAAAATGACGACAGTAAGGATGAGGAAAGAAAAAGCAGCAGTTCCCCCTACGTTGTTCCGGCACAGTATGAGCATAACATTGATAAATCAGCCCATTTACAATTCAACTGTGCATAAGAACATGTTAATATCCCCCCTTTGTAAATGCCCTAAAGACACTTCAGTCAGCAGCACTGCCCTGTGGGGGGGGGGGGGGCTGACAAAATGAGCTACTTTTCGCAATCCACAAATGGAGATATTGGAAAAAAAAAGAAGTAGGACCTGCCACTGGCATCCTTCAAAAACCCACTCCCACTTTTCTTGATTTTTAAGGAGAAAATTATATCACAATGGTATTCATACATGGTGATCAATAAATATATATACCAGCATAGCAGCTTATCAATGTCACACAATACACAATACCACACCAATATAGAATCATCATACAAAAGCACTGCCTTATGTTTGAGCCAAAGGGGTTTATTACACATTCAGTTAAAACTGACAGTTGTCCATCCTCTTTGAGATAAGAACATGATACATTATGCAATCTCAACAAAAATACTTCTTTTTTTCGTGATCTTCAAAGTCCAGCAAGAAAAACAGTCATCTGCAAGTCATTTTGTTAATTTTCATTCGCTGGTTCCAAATTCCATATTATTCTAAAGTTACGACTCAGTTTTTATAAGTTAACAAATGAGAATTTTATAACCAGCCGGCTGCAGACATGACAGACTGTCCGACCTATCGGCCGCAACAAAAGTCAGGCATAGCTCGAATTTTGTGCATCCAGCCTTGGGACAGTCAGCAACCTGCTGGAGATAATGTTCATGTTTGTAAACTTTATGAAAACTACGCCTTAAAATAAAAATAATATCAAATTCGGAACCAGTGTATCAAAATTAGCTAAAACACTCGCACATGATTCATTTTCTTGCTGGATTTTGAGGGGAAAAAAAGGTACTTTTGCCGAGATTAAATCATGTGTCATTTCTTTTTTATCCCAAAGAGGATAGACAACTGTCAGTTTTAAATGAATGTGTAATACAGGCTAAAGTTATCATGGCTTCCTAGAGAACCCACCATACTGACCACTCATCTAACTTTACTGGTCCCACGATAGAAAATTAAAGGATAGAATTTCTAGCACATCTGAATAATTAAGACCCAAAAAAAAATTGAAAGCAAAGCTAAGCACAAAGAGAGAAAAGGGACAACTCCATCATTTATGTTGTTTTGTTTTGTTACTTTAAGAACACGGAAGATCTCTCCTGCTACAGAACTACTGAATAACACGTGACAGGAGATGCAGTGAGAAAATCAAACAAACTTTTCAAGAAAACCTCGATGCACCCTCCACTAGAAACTAAAATGCAAATGCAAATTATGTCTGCAACATTAATCCTTTAACGCCTATTTCCCCATTCCTTAGCCTGAGCCCCTGTGTGCCGAATGCTGAACATATAACCACATGCACTGAGGCATGCACTGAGGCGTGTATTCAATGCAGAGAAAGGTAAAAAGGCACTCAGGTGTATCCTCCAGTTTATCAGGTTAATGCACTTGTGCATTTAGTTTAGTTTAGATTAGTAAGAGTTTTACCACACTTGCAGTACAACAAGGTCATAAACGGTTTTACAAGAGAGTAATAAGTGCAAAAAAAAAATTAGGAGGGGAGATCAGACTCTAAATGTTTGATAGGAAAGAAGGAGAAAACCACACCAGAGCACCCGCCAACCAGCCACAGAACTTGTGCATATCACCAGCAAGTTGTTCAAACAATCTAAGCCCAGAAAGTAAAATTTTTTGGGAGAGAGCTTCATTTTTAAAAAATTGTACCCATGTTATATAGGCCTATATATAATATTATATTTTTTGCTTTTTACAACATAAACTCACTTGAGCCTATTCCAATGTACTGGTTTTTACAAGACATTCTGCCAGCTAATGCCACATATTTACAGGATGCGTTTAAGCGGTCGATATCTCTGGTGTTTTTCGGTGAGCCGCTTGTTTCGTTTCTTTAAAAATTTGGTGAAGTTAACATCACTTGAGTCTATTTCCCTGTATTTACTGGATGCTCCACCGGCCTTGTGGCCTAAGTATTTATGGGATGCGCTTTATCATTTGATATCTCCGGTGTTTTTTGGTCGCGAGCTACAGGAAACGGTGAGCCAGCAGTTGATCCACTTGTGTAGTTTCGCTAACAATTGAGTGAAGTTATGTGCGATACTTTTTTAGCTGTAAAGGACTAAGTCAGTCACCCCGCGCATTGTGATAGCTGATTTTATTATAAATTGGGTGCCAAAAAAAATTGCGTCACCCCGTGACATTGCCATTTCAAAATTTTGATAAAATAAGAACTATTTGGACAAATTAGTTTTTCTCTTTCTGTGAGAGCATTTCTTTCTTTCTTTTGTTGCATTTTTAAATTATGATAGCTTTCACAGTCTATCTGTGGTCAACGAGTCACTATGCCCCAAAATGTCAGGCTGCAATGGTTGTTGGGTGAAAAATAGCTCAGGCTCAAGTGAGTTAAGAATTTGAATTTTGACAGAATAATTTTTGGGCAAATGAAACCAACAACACAGAATAATAAGAAACTGCAATAAATAAAATTATAAAAATGTAGGGCTTAGAACTGCGGAACAGCAGACCGACAGCGTACTCATTCTTAATTAATTCTGGAGATTTGGGGGTATAACTTGCAATTGAATGGTTGAGGGTTCAATAACTCAACAAACCACACCCGGGGATAAATTCTGTACTTAGGAAAGCTACTTTATCGGCCCCAGATCAAACAAATGCAAATTCGTATTTATGTTTTGGGTTTTTTCAGCGTTTTTTTAAAGTTTTGGTATGAGTTTTACAACACTTGCAACACAAGTAAGTCATATCACCACCAAAGATTAGATGTGTTACGAGAGAGCAACATACAAAGAAAAGAAGTAGGAGTCTGCATGCTCATATGACCTTATGCAGTTGCAAGCGCTATTAAGCACTTACCAAAACAAAAATTAGGAGAAATTAGGAAGATAGGTATGTTTGATAGGAAAGAAGGGGCAAACCACACGAGAGCACCCACCAACCACACACAATGCAAATGGGAAATCAACAATCAGATCAGACACAGCAAAATGTGAATAATGGCCATAATGTGCACACCAGGCAGCAATACTATACATCTGCCCACAGACAGAGACAGTACACTGAAAAGAACTGAACATCTCTGCTATTCCCAAGACTTAGCAACATACGACTTTCATTTCTTCCCAAAAATCAAAGGATGACTAATGGGGCGGCAGCAATTTGAAGATGCGGAACAAATTGTGCAGCCATAAGTGTAAGAACTTACCAAGCAAGAGATGAGCATGTGAGCTGCGACAACAAGGGCTGCTGGGATGTAGCGCTTTCTGTCCAGAGCCGCGAAGAAAATGACGCCCCAGACAGTGTGCAGAAGGATGAAGCACAGGGTGAGGAATGCTGCAACGTGAGAGAAATGATGATATGTTACTACACTAGGGAGAGGAAGATAGATAAATTCATAGATACATAGGTACATAGACTCAAGGAGAGATAGACTAATTGACAGACAGACAGCTGGACAGACAGTAGCAATGCCAATGAAAATTTAATTTTTCGCTTTAGCCGTTTTTTATTTGGTACCTAAGAAGGAGTTTTCAATTCTAAGAATAATGCTTTTTTATTTTTAAGAATCGGTCCATTAATAAAAAATTATGGGGTTGTAAAGGTCGGCAAATTATGGATGACCCACATATAGGAAAATACTCCTGAAAGTGGACCATGCAACAGCAGATTCTGTAAGAAAATTGACCATATCTCAGTAATTAATTGGAGTGCTAGAGAAAGAAACTTGGCTACTCAATACGTTTTTGGGTGGAGAAATCATTTCTGCAATCAGATTTACTAACCATTTTGTAGTTATTTTGTTATAATTAAAATTTTGGTGTTCATATTACGATTTTGCTAAAAATTGGTGTCGGGATGAGAGCATTTTATTTATAGCATAGTATCACAACATGGGATCTTTAAGAATATGTTGGCAGCGTGACTAAATAACGGCAAAGCTTTCTTTGATGAATTTAGACCATGCCAACAATAAAATATAATTTAATTCAATCTAGAATGCCGTAGAACTAAAAACCCTTTTTTCCTGTTGAGACGTGAACACCACGAGGTGAGATAAGCTTGCCTCAGAATACCCCCGTTGTGATGTTACAGGGGAACAGAGAGAAAAACAATCGGATGCATGCGCCCGCCATTGCCCTATTTCAAGAGACCAATGAATGGGCTCAGAATAGTCATGCGGACATTTGTTGGTCATATACATTTGTCGAAGGAGTGAGGGGAAAACGGCCGGTCTCCGCGCGAAGCCACTTTGGACAGGGGTGTAGTGATACATTTATGATAGGGTCTAAACAACTACTTGACACAAAACGGTCAAATTTGAGGACACTCTAAAGGAAAGATAGATCTCTCACCTTCTTGATGTTGAAAATCAAGCTCCTGATAGTTGTCTGTATACCCGATACGAAAGTGTTTCCGACACAAAAGTATAGGTTAATTTATGTGTACAAATTTCAACGTCCATATATCATTAGTTTGCCCTATTTTCTGATTGGTTGTCAAGTTTCATTCACATTGGTCCAAAAAGAGAGCAGACCAAGTTTGAGAAAGTTAGTCACTTATGTTCCGATGCAGTCCAAAAATTCACCCTTAAACGGGGACCAAAATTTTGACGCGCACGGAAGTCAAATTGGCATTGCTATAGACAGACAGTCATATTGGTAGAAAGACAGAGAGACAGAGATAGAAATAGAAAGATAGAGAGACAGTTTGAGAAGTAGAAGGATAGACGTATAGATGGATGGATGGATGGATGGATGGATGGATGGATGGATGGATGGATGGATGGATGGATGGATGGATGGATGGATGGATGGATGGATGGGTAGGTAGGTAGGTAGGTAGATAAATAGAAACAATAGAGGGACAGCAACTGAATTTGAAACAAGTCACACCACAGTACAGGTGCATCCTCGTTGCAGTTGACCAAAGAAGCTGAACTTCTACTCACCTGAACACCAAAAGAAATATTTCGAATCTCCCATGATGCCGATGGTGCCGGGGCCAGACATGTCGGCCAGCACATTGATGATGGAGAAGGCACCCGCTATCAGCCCAAATCCTAGACCGGAAACTGGAAAATGAGAAACAAACGAGTTAGAAAATTCTAGACATCATTTGAGAGGCGGGCCGCTTCCATCCAAGTCATCAGTGGTAGCTCAGGTCATGTCAGAGATAACTTCTCAGGCAGAAATATGAAGACTGTCTACAAAAATAACTTGTCCTCACTAGACTCGTAATCACATTCTTAGAGAGCATAGGCGAAGAGACAAAAAGTTACAACACAGATGTCAAAATAAGGTCAGTCCAAGTGACAGAGAAACACATAGATATAATACCCATCATTTTGCACAAGAAAAAAAAAAGACGGACAGAAGGAATTGAGGGAGACTAAAGAAGAAGGAACTACCAATAACGCCCTCCAAACCTGTTATTTTTTTGTAAAAATAATATTTATAAGCGAATCAGTACAATAATTATTATCCTGAATCTTGTTCTAGGCCAAAGAGACGTAAAGATCCCATGGACATAAACCAACACAGATTATTAATGGAGAGAGAAATACAGTGATGGATATATAGAAATACAGTGCACAATAACGGTCCCATTTGGCCAGGAACAGAGGGCAAAGAAAAAACTCAGTGGCCAGAAGTAGAAGGAACAGACAACACTGAAGCACCCATCAGTCATCCACTCGAGGAACGATGTAAACCTACTGGTACCATACAAGTGTAAAACAGCAAATTGCCCCTTGATACAAACTAAGATCTTTGAAGGGGCAAAACTTTTGTCAAGTAGCATCCATTTCCAATAGACTTTTTTTGTTGTTTTAGTTAGAGTTTTATTGCCCAAAATTAGAAAAAAAATGGTATGGGTTAACACCTCTATGAACATTATTACCGAAAATTAGTGTTGTAAGAAGAGAGTAATAAACACAAAAAAGGAGAAGAGATAAGGATGATAGATATTTGATAGAAACAAAGGAGCAAACCACACCAGAGCATCCACCAGCGACTCACTTCTAATAGTCACAACAAGGAGGTGGATTGGAACAAAAACTCAGTTACGGCAATATACTTTTCTTCATTTTTGAGTAAAGGGAATCACTTTGACCTATTAGACATCTTTTAGTGCAGGGGAAAATCAAGATAGTCAGAAACAACAGAGCGAAAGAAAAGATGCAGGACCTACCAAAGGTGCCCTCTAACCACTCACACATACTTTTCTAATCAGAAAAGCTAGGCAAGACCGTGAGGAAGAACAGTGTGGACACACACTCACCATAAGCCATGATATGTTTGTTGGAGAAATCACGGATGTCCACATGTTCATTTTCCGATCGCTGGCTAACCATGAGCAGGCCTGCATCCGCCATCCTGACATTTATTTGAAGAAAAAGAAGCATAAACTCAATAACTGTGATTTAATTGTTTAATTTCAGGAAAAAGCAGAACTTTAGGTTCAGTAAAAGTTTTACGGTACTTGCAACACAAATAGGCAATATAAGTGCCAAAGATTAGAGGTGTTACTAGATAGTAAAATACTAATAAAAGGAGAACAGATAAGGATGACAGATGTTTAATAGGAAAGAAAAAACACCAGAGCACCCTCCAACCACCTACAGAGGCAAGATTGATAAAGGGAGGCAATAGAGGAAGAGAAAAGAAATAGGATCAAAATGCAGTATTTTCCAACCCCCTACCCCACCCAGGAAATGAAAAGACAGAAACACACATATTATATACATACATATGTATATATATATATATATATATATATATATATATATATATATCTTACACTTAAGTAGAGCTATCATAGCTGATCAACCGTTAAAGTCATACACAAAGCACTATAATTTCATAGTTCAGTTATTCTGTACCCCCAGTTAGAAGAGTAATAATCACATTTCATCACAGACAGATACAAAAAACTTTATTGGACTAAACAGAAGCACATCGACGCGATAATACTCATTTAGAGGTGAGGAAAAAAAAGGCAGACAGACAGCAACAAAAGAGGAATACAATAAAGGAGGACTTACCAGTGGCACTCTTCAGCAACCTACACAGATTATAATAATACTGACACTAATTCAAAAGAAATGGGAATCGACAACATCAGAGCCCTCTACAACCACAAACTTGCCAATGTTACCACTATGTGATCGTATCTTAATCAAAGCAGAAAAGGCTACAAACCTGAGAAAGAAAAAGACTGAAGCAATGCTTCCCATAAATGGCTTCATAGTGGGAACAAGGAGTGTAAGAAATATTATAAAACATTTCCAAACATTCAGACTCCTTTCGGTTTGTATGCTTATGTTCAAAAGACTGACATTTGACACAGCTCTAGGAAAAATAAAGACAGAAACAATGCTGAGAAGTAATGGAAATTTGGGACATTCAAGTAACCTAGTCGCATCATCACCTGCACTTTTTCCGGAAAACATGATGTTATCTGCCGAGTGGAAAAGTTCTCATTCAAACAAAAGAACATACAGGAAGATGCAACACAAACAACAGTATGTGAAGCAGGGCTGACAAGATGAGTTACTTCTCACAATCCATGAATGGAGATCATGCAGGCTGAACACATCAAATTTGCAGATTTTAATCCAATGCCATTTTCAGCAAGTTTAACATGCCTTTTGCTATTTTTTAACAATAAACAGTGCAAACCCAACCCATGTATTTGATGTTTCTATAGGAGTCCACAGGGCTAAACCCCGAGAATTAAATCATTTTGTCAGCACACATAATGTATGGAAAAGTCCTGGAATGAGAAAAATTTGGTGGGTACCTCAGTGTTTTGTAGAACAGAAATCTGAAGGCCTCCTGAAATAAGACGGAGAAGACTAGTCCAAAAGCCAGTTGTCCCTTCAGCGGCACCACAGCATACCACAGAATAGATGATATCAGTAATGCCAGCAACCAGAAAAACCCACTGTGGACAGAAAATAGAAATTACAAAGGTCATGCTTTACATTAAAGAATTTGATACTAGAGGTACAAAGAGAAGTTAACCTTTTAATTCTTTTTTTTTACACTTTAAAGTAAGACATGACAAATCTGATATTAGAAATACAAAGAGGAGGTAACAATTTTGGGGTTGTTGGTTTTTTTTTGTTAGACTTCAAATGTACTTCAAATGTAAAAACAAAACAAACCCAACTCAAGTTTAGACTTTTTCACTTAAGAGTCTGAGAAACAAAACAAGTTTTATATAGTGATCTAGTGCTATCCTACCTTAACTGTTGTGCATTAGAGATTATTCCAAACTGCCCCTAACAGTATAAGACTAAAAGATAACCCATAGTGAAAAAATCATTTAACATTATCCATACAGATAAACCTGAAACTGCACAGACCTACATATTAACCATGAAGGAGCATATCTCTCAAACCTCGGGATCTTTCCACAAAAACAAGGAAGAGGGAAAGTATTCCAAAAAAAAAAATCCATCAAGTCAACCCTCACAGTAAGCAGATACAAAAAGGAAATAATTTCTTTACTTCAAGATCTCACACAAAGGTGAACATTTTTTTTCAATGAATCCTTTTCTTATACATATACAGTCAAACATGTCCAAGACAACAACCCAATGTTGAGGGGAAAGTGGTCATTTTAGAGGTGGTTCTCTTGGCCAGTGTCTTTCTAAATGACATACAGTCAAACTTGCTCTAACAGTCACTTTTAAAGGACAATCACCTGTACAAACCGACACTTCCCATCTTCTCCCTTTCAATTTTTTTACATATTTATAATACAGTGTAAGATGGCCTCCTGTCTAAGACGGACACTTAGTTTCCTCGACACTAGGTGGTCACCTTAGACAGTTTTGACTGTATATGTGAGGCAGCGTGGTGAAATCAGGCGCCCGTCAATTAATGGAAAAGAAGAAATGCATTTTCCCGCAGGTTTGGGAATTTTTATCGAATATTTATTTAAGCTGAACACCTTTCATGTCCATTAGAAAAACAGCACAAAAACTGTAAACTCAGTCTCCGTGGGTGCTCAAGCTTAGGAAATAACTAAACTTTGCCGGCCGTTTTCTCGCTAATTTACCTCTGAAACCAGGCAACCCCCACCTCCTTCAATCGCCAATAAGTCAACTAGTATCCAAGATGAATGGATATTTTTCATGGAAAGCAAGACAAA